TAACTGTCAGTGTTTTCAAACTACACCGCGCTTTCATAGCTAAATCTTCAGGATGACATAACAGCAAATATATCATGTTGACAATGAAACGCCGAAAATCGTTATCTCCATGTGTACGATTCATCATCAACCGGGAGGTGTAAATTTATCATCAGTGACTTCACATCTGAATAACCTGAGATTGGGAACCAGTAGTTATTCATAAATTTACGACAAATGACTTACATTCTTTTGTGATTCTCTCAACTATGTAGACACATATAAGTTATTAAAAACGTATTCATTTATGTATTATTAGTCAGTTATATTTCAACTGAAATCATCCTTGTAAACTCCATCTATAGTGACTAAATGATTTGAAAAGTGTGCATGAAAACAAGCCATGTATTTCTCCAATAATGATATTGTATTTTTACATTCCTCTACTCTTTATCTTTGGACAGTATAAATTAAAACATTCTGTCTTTATTGTATACTGACAGTCAATTCAACCTAAGTCATCACACTTTGAAGATTTTCAATATTTTTGTTACCAAAGTTATCACAGCAATCTCAGCCTAATATGCTGAAAGTAAAAACATACTTACAGGCCTCCATTTTTTTCCCTTTTGAATTATGAAAACGTTTGACAAAAACATTGTTAACAGTTAATACTTGTAAATGACAACATGTAAACCGTGCACAACTGGATTTGTTTGATTTCATAATGAAATTGTAAGAAAACGACATATTAAACAGGATCCTTCGATAATGTTGTTAAATTGAAACAAAATGAAGTTTAATTCTCATTTTCTTCACAGATAATATTCTTGTGTTTGTAAATTCTCAGCAGTGTTCATCGTTACTTCACTATCTGCAAGAAAGCAGGTCCAATGCAGTTAATGATGATACACTCATTGTACTCGTGGATTTTTCAAGTGAGACATCAGTTTACCTGGTGTGACAAACTTTTTCTCTTAACTTGTAAGATAATCGGTTTTTTCGAAACCATAATCTTGTATTCAGTTACTTAGAGAAAAATAAACGGCCATCAGATAACATATAAAAGCATAAAAAGAGCATTCGGTTTATGGACTTACATGCTAACGGTCAATAGAAATTGTGTTTAAAGTACGGTGAGAATAACTGTCTGCAGAAAAGACCACTTATATCTCTACACTGATCAACTGGGTTAGTTTTCAGTATGAAAATCATTCTGATTTGTATATCTCCACACTTTAATAATCATAACAGTTTTATTCTGGACAGTATTTATATAATGTACAGAATTTTCAGAGGGGTTTAACTGCATGATATTTTCTCTTCGTACAATATCTTCAAGTAAAATATTGACTGGTAGTATAGTCTGTGACACAAAGCCCTTTGAGCTGAAGCACAAACCATCCCATTATGATATTTCTGCTTTGTCGCTTTCAAGAAATCCCCAACATCTAGTTGAAAGCCAGTTGTAGGAAGTTCAGAAGTACATTTTGAAACTCAAGGACTAAACTAAGGAACAGATATCTCATGCATTGAAACACACAACCACCGACAATAAGGCCTTTTCTCAAGTTTAGCAGGAAATTCTAAATACAGTCAAGAGAAGATACCATTAGAGGTCATATCTTAACCGATTAAAACAACGTGAATGAGAGAAAATATATGCAGTTGGCAGTTTTTGGTAGCCCAAGTTTTAAGCAGGCCGCCTCACTATAACTGTGTAGTCATATAATGTAGTGCATTCCGTAGGGTAAATATATAAATCCTTTGTTAATTTGATGAAATTAAGAAAAATCTTAAAAATACAGGCGTCATGCAGAGGAAACTTCTAACTGACTCTGGAAATGACATGCAGCCACCAAAATAACTGATCAGTGGAGTCTACAGAAATCGAAGAAAAATCAGAATGTAATGAATAAGTAATGTCAAACGAAATTTCTCCTGAAAAGGTATTTTTGGACCAGGAAGTGACCAATCATTCCTCTTTCAGCGAAGTAGTCATAAGTATTTACTATAAAATTTATGGGTATCGCGTAATTACGAATTCCTATTCTCATCAAAATGTATCTTTAATAAAAATAACCTTGATGATAAATATTTAAAGCGATCAGGTCTTTGGCAAAGAAGAGTCAAAGACTTCATAAAGTTGAAAGGATTCCAGCTGAACACGTATCGACATAACTCAATAGATAGATCATAGTTGTGACAGTTTATGTGAATGCAAAAATGTAACTTACTAACTTGTTCTGGATCTGTATTGCACAAAAGTATATATAACATTAAAATAAACGCCTGAAATTGTTGGCTGCGAAATTCATCAGAGTAGTGAACAATATATTCACATTCACCATTAGTTCTCCTGACAATAAACTATTATAGTAATCACTTTGTAGTAATTCAGGATTTCATAAACACAACCTTGTTTACTAGTTTACTATCCTACCCTACATCATGAAAAAGAAGACATGGTTGGCTGTGAGCCTCAGGCACTGACAACCAATCTCCTTTGAAATCATGACAATATAATTTCGACTGAACAGGAAGAAAAGTTACAATTATACAATGCTACACAACTACTAACAACGTATGCCAAGAGAATAACAGAGACTCTAACAGATAAGTGTGAACAGTAAAACAGACTGATGCTAAATCGAATTTCAGCTGGTGGTATCAACGCAAGCAAGGCCATGATCAAACAACACTGGAAGAGAACTCATCATGATCGGGGATGATATCAGCGAAATGACTGAAAACAGAAGACTCTTTTCAAACTTCTGCACTACTAAAATTTAGTGATTGGAGGTAGTGTGGAAACTAAGGATACTGGAGACAAGATTGAGAATTTAAGAGGGTGTATATTCATATGACCTTTACAAACTTTAAATTATTTCACCATATATCATGCATGATTAGTTAGTTATTTTGCTCATGTGTAAAATCAGATTTAATTAATCCTTATTAGTTTGTCTGAGTGTTTTGTTGAAATTAGTGACATCATCTGCCTACACTTTATTTTTACATTTCATTTTTATGTGTGTGAAAAGATTTCTCAGGCACACTATCTAAGTTAATGATACTGGCATATTTCAAACAATTATCTCAAAAATACTTATATGAAGAATTATCTAGCCTTCATTATGAATTATATAAAATGAACGTGCTGTGCAGGCCATAGCTTCTTCGGTACAATTGTAAAATGCCTAAAACTTTGTTTAGAATCTACTTACTCTCCCTTAAAGACAAACTATACTGCCAATATCATTGTCTGTAGCAGGTCTTCGTATGAAAAGTGTGGAAGGAAAAGTACTGACAAGTCTTATGTCATCCTAGAATATATATTATTATTATTGTATCCTTTAATTGCTGGAGGAACATAGGGCTTCAGCCATGTGTCTCCATTGCGTTCGGTTCTCTGCTAGAGTCTTCATCTGGCTCCAGGTCTGCCCACACCTTTTCATCTCCTCTTCACATGACCTCCTCCAAGTCACCCTTCGACGACCAACTCGCCGCTTCCCTTTCGGGTTCCACTGGAGTAATGGCTTGTCTAGTGATGTCACTTGATGGTTTCCTCAGAGTATGGCCAATCCATCTCCATTTCTTCCTGCCTATTTGTTTCACAATCGGTTCCTGGTTGGTTCGCTCCCAGAGATCTCTGTTGCTGATCTTTTCTGACCGGCCATCTGATCTTGAGTATTGAGCGAAGACAACTATTAACGAAGGTCTGTAGTTTGTTTGAGATGCTCTTTATGACGCGCAGGGCAAGTCTCTGATCCGTATAGTGAGTAGCACTGACTTCACATTGGAGTTGAAAATCCGGATCTTATTTTTGACGCTGAATACTGTTGACATATATTTTCCCGATCCTTGCTTTGATATCCTCGTCAGTTCCGCCTGTAGTTGAAACGATGCTTCCCAGGTAGGTAAAATATGTTGTTTCTTTCAGGTTCCTCCCATTTATGCTGATTGTTGTCTGTTGTTGTTGCTGTTGGTGATGTTGCCCAGGAATCTTCATCACCTCTGTCTTCTCTATGTTCACTTGAAGTCCTATCTTTGATGCTTCTTCTACCAACTTGTTGCTTTTCGCTTGCATATCTTCCAGTTTGTGGGGAATCAGACATATATATCATCGGCGAAGTCAAGATCCTCCAAGTTTTTTGTGTGAGTCCATTTTATGCCTGTTTCCTCATTGCCAGCTGTTTGTCGCATCATCCAGTCTACTGCAATCAGGAAAATCATTGGCGATAGTAGGCAGCCTTGTCTCACTCCTGTCCTCACTTCGAAGGATTCCGCAAGTTTCCCGTTGTGGATCACTTGGCATGCAGCATTGTCGTAGAGCTGTTGGATGAGATGTATAATTGTCGGTGGCACCCCGTAGTAGCGAAGTAGTTGCCAAATCACCTCTCGATCGACGCTATCGAAGGCATTTTCAAAGTCGATGAAGTTGAGATATATATATTATGTATAACATAATATACATAATACAATATATATTATATACATTCATATATATGTATATAGTACAAATATGTGAATGACACATTTATCTTTATTAAGAAAGCTGAAAACGGAAACTTTCTACAATACATTAACTCAGTCTCAAAATATATAGCTTACTAATGAAGTTGTGCGGTTAGCATGTTCGCCGACCATGCACATGATCCGGGGTTCGATAACCGGCCGACGCACTCCTTTGCCTCACTTATCCAGTAATAAGACACGTAACGAGGGAAGGCTGGGCATGAGACTAGCAACCCGATCCTTAAAAATAAATACTGCTACTGAAACTTCAAGCCTCCAGCTTGAAGCCCTATGTTTCACTGGGAACGTGAAGGAAATAAATAAATAACTAATGAAGTTAAACTGAGTGAGAGAACACTTAACTTTCTGGATTGTCTTGTTAGAGCAAACTGACGACAAACTAAAGTTCACCCTATTCAGGAGACAGATACTTTCAAAAAATATTTTAATTTGCGATCGGATTATCCAATAAGACAGCTTTGGTGGAAGTTAAAGATATGTTTCCTGAAATGACACAAACCATCTGTGTTCATAAGATAAAGTGTTCAGAATATGAGGCTTGCTATATAGGGGAAACAAGTAGACAAGTGAATGTTGATGTGAATGCACACATACTGTGCACGAAACGTTCTCCAAAAAATGCAGTAGAATTAGAGTCTCGAAATGAAATCAGCCATTACAACTCATGCTATAGACAATGGACTTAAGATCGATTTCGAAAATATCGAAATTCTGGGGAAAAGCTTTCATTCACATAGAGAAAGACTAGTCTCTGAAGCTTTGCATATTTTAACCACATCGAATGCAACAAATATAAGAGAAGGGATAGACTTTTCATCTATATGGCAGACTCTAATGACACAAAACAGAAGAGAGAAAATAAAAATGTATTCAAGTGTTGATTCGCAGGCATTCGGCCGGTTACAGGATTTTCATCATGGTCTGACATATGTTACAGAACCGTTGGAAAACCAGTGACCAATGAAAAGCTTTTTCGTCCTTATTTGGACCAATTCACTAGTACGCACCCAAAGGGGTTCTAATTTATAAATTTCCTTTTACAAGATGAGTCACTCGGACACTATCCAATGGACAGTGAGCTCTGACTCCACCGAATTCACGATACACCGCAACTGTTAGCTAATGCCATCGGCTAGTAACTGTCTTGACACCCATCCTCTTGTACCACACTAGTCAAGACTTCCCATGTGTGACAATCTGTCATTAGGCATGACAAATACATAATGAATGTTCACAGTTTTCTGTTGGTACAAATGTCTATCAACAAGTGACCTTCAATTTATGTAATGTTTTGACTATTTATCCTGATGTTAAATAAAATTCGAATGATTTTGCTTTGGCAGCCATGGCTTACACGGCGAAACGCTCTGAGAAGTTTTGTTTTGACTTTATCGCAGACACACTGAGACTATTTCAAATAGTTTATAATGATTCGCACTTACTCGGCGTTCAAATTATTTCAGGAAATTCTTAACATCTATGGTATGGACACATATTTAGTCTTCAGTTTCATTTCTTCATTTTAGTGCACAAAATGAACTTTAGGTTCAATCGGAAATGGGTATGCTAATATGGTGCACTAACTAAAGTAATAACGAAATGAATACAAAGAAAAATAGATGTCTTTATATAATACAGTCCTGTAACCAAAGCATTCAATATATATATCACTTCATTAAATGTAAAAATATAAAGGTGAAATAATGCATTTTCATAATATGTGAGCCATAAACAAGAACATTTGCATACGAGAATGACACACAAATGAGAAAGGACAGCAGCTGTACTTACAAATATAGTCTAGAAAGGTGAAAAAAATGAGGAAATCAAATTGATAGATAAACTTCTATAAAGTAGAACCTGAGGAAGGATGATAAATTGTATTTCGCTTAAATGAAACTAATTTATTCCACTGAAAATGAAATACTTCGGATAACTGTATAATAACTTGAAAGTTTAGAGACGTAAGAACGTCAATCTCAAAATCAACTCCATTGAGAATTTCTCGGTCCGCAATTATATACCTTTATTTTATTGCCACTGAAATATGCTCGAGACTACAGTGCACTATGCGAAACAATCTCGAATCAAATGCGAATAAAGGATGACATTTTGACAGAATTTATCTATCACCAGGCAAAATATCCGCGAAACTAAGGCATTCAACATTTGTGGCTAAATCAGCGTAAGTGCATAAGGCTAAGATAACGAAAGAACATTAACTCAGTTGTGTCAATATTGAATGAATTTTGAACAACCAGGCAAAATATAACGGTCTTCGATTCCTTTGCAAATAACAAATTCTACTTTGTCTAGCTGCTTATTGTTCATGAGGAAACTTGAGCAATACGTTGTTTCATAAACTTTGAAGCTGCAAACTTGAACCTGTAACCGTCTGAACCTGTAAAATTTTTGAAGCTACTCAAAGGCTTATACAACACAGTATGTGACTGCAGTGAGCAAGTAAAGAATTCAGAAGGACGGAGCAACCAAATAGGTAGGATGTAAATCTTCTTTGTGACTTGTAGGCATTTCTTTATCTATTGAATGACTGACAGCTTCACTTGCCCCTGCCACACTTTCGAAAATTAAGGTTCATAAACAGCAATAATCTCCTGCAATAAAACGATTCGTCAGTCGATAATCTGAATAATTATTTTCATCGAAATGTTGGCTCTTAAACTGTAACTTTTGTTACTGTAACCATTTGTGCTGTCGATGTCTTGTCATGCTGGTTTATTGCCAGTGGAACATTAAATAATCTACAAGTCACCAGCTCGTCTTCTGATATATTCTACTTGATTGAAGTTCATAGTATTCTGAGTTGCGTCTGTTGATCTTCATGCAGCGGCATAAGCTTGAGGATCGATGGGTTGGGAGTCATTGAAACGGGTGCATTTACACAAACATTTAAAATATATGAACAAGACGCATTCGGATTTACAACATACGAACAAAGATTTCTGCGAGAATCGCATGCAAATGAAAAAGGAGAACAGTTGTGCTTACAGTTACCGTCTTTAAAGAACAAAGATGTAAGGCGATCAGATACATGAACTTTTATAAAGTGAATCATCAGGAAGAATTATAAAATTATTTCACTCAAATGAACCTAATTAATTCCACCGAAAATGTAAGTACTTCAAATAATTGTAAATTAACCTGAAAGTCTAGCAACATATGAACGTCCAGATGGCCTAAACTATCGAAGACGTCATAACCACTGTTAAGTTATAAAACATTCAGCAGTTTAAGTCTTAATTACTGAATTTGTATTGAAAATTTGCAATGCAACGTTTACTACACTCACACTTCGACCCATCTGGCAAAATTCAAATATATTCCAAAGAATAGTGTGTGAAAGGATTACGTTTGTTTTATAAAATATAGGCATTAAAGATCACACAATATGTTATCCTGATGCAATCCTCCAGTGAGGTTGTAAGTGAAAGACGCTAGGTGAAACTTCCTCCTGGTTTCTTCGTTCATGATCACTTGTGTTCTTTGTAGTGTAGTGTAACAATATTTTTTATTTAAAACTTTTCCTCAGGTTGATTCAAACAAATTATTTAGCGATGCAAAAATGTATGTTCGGCTGCAAAACAGTGACCTGATGTTCAACGGTTTCTTCCCACTAGCTGAGTGTTCCAGTCTCTAATGGCAGAATGATGCGTGTTTTTCCAGTAGGTCCATTATTACTCCCCTCAAGACTCAATTTTTTATTTTGGTTTCAATAATATACGTTATGTATTGAAGTACCCTTCATGTTACTATTCCCGTTGGATTAACACGATGTCTGAAAGCAAACATCAGACATGATTTGGCGGAAATGATGATGTGATAACGCAATACTTTTAAGAAATTCGATTCGAAACAATGTATTGATTCTGTCTGGATAATGATTGCTTCACAGAATTTGCTGCTCTGTGACATACATTTCACAGCGCCTACAAACATTTAAATTATTGCTGTCGAGATGAGTGTATTAATTCGAGCTTGCTGACTCAGTTCATCAAGACTATTAGCTGATTGCAATTCATACTTCTTTAAGTTCTACAGAGAGTTTCGTTCACATAAGGAATAGAGGTGGAGAGGTATTTCAAGTGAAAGACTCTGAAGTGTCAGGTTTTAAGTGGTTAAACAACAATGAAGTCCAATTAATCTGTAATCGTAGGCGACTTTTCAAGCTGAGTGATATGTATCTGTTGAATTCTGAAGTAGACTAATCTAAGATCAGAAAATTTATTATATATATATATAATACGGTGCAAAAAATGCTACTGCTGCTTATAAAATCATTTCAGCAAATATCATCGAATAACACTCCTGAGTACATTTTTAGATTCACATTCATCATTTACACACAAGGTGTTTCACGATACACCGAACGAGGGGAAAATGCATTCACCCTACGATAATTCAACTAAATCTCATATTCATGAGACAAAATTTAATCCATCCGAGTATAATGCAGAAGAAGACGAATTCTGCACATCAAACATTTGTGAGAATTATATGTGAAAATATTGTTATGTGATAAATGGACTCACATGCTAATTATAACAGATGAAATGCATTTTAAAATTATCACTTTGATATTGGTTTTGTTTAATAAACTGAAACGATATTTATAGGCTGTTGTTTATATTTAAGCCCGTATTTGTGACAATGACAATTGTTATATCCATTAAAGAAGATATGCGTCAATAACTAGTAGATGCATGCCAGATATGAATACGTCGTCAATTATACTGTCACTCATTCGGTGATGCACACTGGAGATAATGATGATTTATGCAAATGCCACCATTTTTCAGATCATTATTTTGAAATAACAGTCGAAAAACTGTTTCATTTAAGATATCCACCACAGCATTCATAAAATGTTTGACAAAATGTTAAAATCAAAACCATCTTCTCTTAGGAAAACGTTAGGCTCCAAATTCGCTTCCCATTACACGATTTTCTTGGAGAAAACCTGTTCATCTTGGAATTCTCCTGAAAACACTGATAACGCAAATGTTTCGCTAAAAGTCTACAGGTACAGAAATGATTTTAAGGATGCGCAGTTTCTTAGTTACTTCCTGGTATAGATGATAAAAACGTTTAAACGAATACCAAGAAGAGCAATTCAACTTGCATAAAACAAAACTAATATCGTTCAACATGCAAAATCCACCTGTAAGCATCGTTGCCCATCAAGAATGCCCACCTTCAACATTTTTATTTTAATTAGTCCATGTAGCGATGGATGTGACGCTAATAGTCATCCACAACACAAAGATTTGCTTGTCACGAAGGAACTGTATACTGATAACGGATTCTTCCAAACGCATTGATAGGAAGTCACAATATGTTTAATATGTTATTAGTTCCTGTCAGATAAGATAGGATATTGTGTGTCTTGCACCCACTCTGAATTTAAGGATGGAGTGGTTGATTGTGTTGACCACTTCACCTATCTGGAAGGTTGCTTCATACCTATTGGATTGAAATCCCAGCTAGGATACAAAAGTCTGTTTTTGAATTTTGTAAACTGACCTCATCTCTTGAGTATGCAGTTCGCACTGTCCTTCTTTACGACTGGACACTTGGTGACGGAAGGTAGTTGTTAAAAAACTAGATTCGTGTGACTCTGTCTCTTACACCTACACATTAGGTGGTATAGTATGGTCAGACGTAGTGGTGGGTTGTAATGGAAGTTCTACAAGTTAGAATGACTGGCATTTGTTTTACACATGCCGTGCTATTGCTTCCCTTGTTAGCCGACGTATGATAGTGTTACAAATTCATTAGCGGTAACCAGGCTGAAAAAATGGAGTCAATCAATGATAACTTTGGGTGATGGCGTAAGCCACAATGGACACAGAAGCACTACTATTTCATGCCTCATTGATCAACCATATCCCACAATTATTTTTTAAAATTTATTCCTTCAGGGTCCAAATGAAACATGGGGCTTCAAGATAAAGCTTTGAAGTTTCCATAGCTAGGGTTTCATTTTTACGGG